TATGATTGCCGTAAAATTTGCTCGACGATAGAACGGAATCTTTAAAATTCATTACACCACTGGACGTTTCATTCCAAAAAGTACTAGTCTAGTTTTCTATGACCATAGGGATCTTAAAATCTCCAAAACCAAGAAATCGGAACAATATTTCCGTGATAAATTCGAAATTTTTATCCGTCTTGCCGACGAACACTTTGCTCGCCATTTTGAAAGTCACTGACGCGAGACGTGACGTCATACTGGCAGGCCGACTGAACCACCGATTTCCTTGGAGACACCTCTCCCCCTGAGTACCATGTAAAAGTTCTGCCGAAGAAGTTTCATTTGATTGGAAAAACCACGGGATTTCGTCCAAAAGTAATTTCCTGTGAGAAATCAACTCCCCATAACTTAGAGTATGAAAAAAGGATTAAGATGCTTTATGGGAACCGATACCTAAAGCGACGCGCAATAATCTACAATTATGCTAGTATCTACCCATAAACAGCCGCCTTTTATAGTACCATGAGCGTTGTTACGTAACGCACCCACGAATCACGTCCGCGTACATGGCATTGTGTGACGCTACAGTGGATTTCTTGCCACTCTTGCCACTCACTACCCATCGAATCTGGGCGGTACAAGAAGATACCCAGAGTTGAGAGACTACTCCTTTTCTAGTACATCCGAAATCGCTGAAAAATTCTACTATTTGTTGAAATGTAATCACTCATATACTCTATAAACAGTAATTTTACGAATATGTCTTACAAGCCACTATTTATATATGTAATATTATATATAATGAACAAAAAAAATCTACGTATATAGCTTCACTTTTCCTAGGAGTGCTCAATGCATAAAAATATGCAGAGCGAAATACAAATGAAAGGGATATAAGTTAATTGAGTCGTAACTCGGAGTTTCACATACTAAGCGATCATCAGACTAAGAATTCTGAAAACTGATTTCGGTTTTAAGGTGGAAATTTGAAATTCATGGACGGTTGGAGTAGCGCGTTCTGTGATTGGTTGCGAAGAACTTGTTCTCGTGACGACACTTGGCTAACAGTTCGGATCGTTTATTTAGGATAGTATCGCGGGCAGTCAAGATACAGAGTTTCTTAGAAAGGCAAAAATTGCAGCGTGACGAGTTTCTCTTGTAGGCGTTTGCCTTCTTGATGATACGCCACTTGATGTCATATGTCGTGTCGTTGTCCTTTAGATCCCAGATGTATTTTGAAAAAACTGTGTCATGTGAATGGTTTCGGTTCCTAAAAGAGAGTTTGTGGTTGTTGAATCTTGTTTTGAAGTCATTTTCCGTCATGCCGATGTAGTTACTTGTAGTTCCGGATGCTGTCGTGACTATGTTTCACAGATGACGTTATTTGTGAGACATTTTCCATTAAGAGGGCAAAGGTCCCTGTTTCCGCAATTACATGTCTTTCTGTTGTCGGTCATTTCGCATTCCATTCAATATCTTTTTGTTATGGTTTTTGATCATGTTTGTCTATTTTTATACCAATCTAACGAGATTTGCAGTCAATTGTGTAAAAAGCCCGAGAAGCTCCGAGTAAAATCACAGTAATGTATCGGTCAAATCGAAGCTTCAACATGCCCCCCCGGGCAACCCCCCGGGCATTTGACTTTTTTGAAAATTATTGTTCAAATTCCCCCTACCCGGGCCAAAATGCCGTTCAAATGCCCTACACTGGGGTCCATTCAGGTGATAAAATGCCCCCACCCCGGGGACATTTCACAGGCACAAATATGACAGAAGGACGGCGGAAACGCCTTCAGTTGTCGAACAAAATCTTTATAAATATAGCAAAAACTGAGAAACACTGTTAGCGTATTTACTACGAACAAAAGGCTCGTGCAAAGCGGCGGAAATCGCCGCTAGAAGGTCACTGAATGCTCAGCTTTTCTTCGTCATGCAACATACAAAGTGTTCTATAAAAAAGATCCCACCTATTGAGATTACTACATCATGACCATTTCACTGACATGCATCATCGCTTACCTTATTAATTAACATACTTGCAGTAGGTCAAAGTAGTTGACCTGAGCTTTTTATTTTATTTTATTTTATTTTATGTTGTTGTATTGAATTGCTGGTATAGGTATTACATTTCATTGTAAACACAACAATACATTCATACATTCAAAGCCTGAATCTAGTATTAAAAATTTTAAAATCTAAATACTTCAAATATGCCACAAAGCTTGTTTAAGCCCTTTCCTTGTAACCAATTGGCCACCCCCTGGAAGACTCTGACAATAAAATTCCCTCCTCCCCGGGGCGGAAAAGGTGTCAAATGCCCGGGATATGCCCGGGGGGGGGGCATGTTGAAGCTTCGATTTGACCGATACATAACGAAGCAACAGGAAAAGAGAAAAAGAAAGAGCGAGGAGAAGGAAAGGAGGAGATAAGAAAAAAGCAATTAAATGGTTGCACTCTTAGTTTTATTTAGGCTACTTTGGATACACACACCCCTCCCCCAAAACTGGAATTTTTGAACACTGATCCGATTTTCTCGGAAATCTATAATTGGAAAGTACAGAAAGTTGTCCCGGGAATCTTTTGGCCTTAGTGTGCTTTAGATAATTTGCTGCATTCTTTGGTCGTACTTCGAGAAGAGGGAATATCTTTCTCAGAAGGGAATTTAAACAGTAAAAGGTAAGAAAATCAAGCCAAAATATTCATAATATCGCAAGTGCTGAAAGACCCTTTAGGGGCTGCCCTACTTGACGCGACGGCGTTGGCGGGCAGATTCCTTTGCTATGAGGCTAAACATTAGAAAAGATTTCATTGTTCCCACGGAACTCAGGGGAACGTGTATCAAGTTTGGAATAAGTAGAAACATTGATGATGTCGATCCCGCAATTCCTCTTTATCACAACGTGATAGAATTCATTTTAGGAATATCAATGACTTATAGTTCTGGGTTCTCTAATTTTAACGTTGTCAACGTTGTCAAGACTGGTGACCCAGGCTCAAAATTAATGTATCACAATTAGGCAAGATATTTGTTCGAATATGCGAAGTTCCATGGCTGGCTCGCGTCGTTTCCTAACTAGAAATGTTTTTCATGTGCTAGATGGGAGATGGTTTTCTTGAGTTGTGTGATCTAGGGATCGCGTAAGGTGTTCGATCTCAGGTCATCTCAGTCGTGTTTTGGCCTGTCGATTTTAAAGGGAACTCTAATACAGATCCAGATTACACTAATTTTTCGTGGGCTTAATTTTCCATAAGTTTAGATTCCAGTGCGCCAACGTTAATGAATAGGAAGAAACTGGTTATCAGTATAAAAGAACGTAGACTTACAGGAATATAGAATCACAATATAGAAAGGTGCAATATTCGGACAACGGGAACNATATCAATGACTTATAGTTCTGGGTTCTCTAATTTTAACGTTGTCAACGTTGTCAAGACTGGTGACCCAGGCTCAAAATTAATGTATCACAATTAGGCAAGATATTTGTTCGAATATGCGAAGTTCCATGGCTGGCTCGCGTCGTTTCCTAACTAGAAATGTTTTTCATGTGCTAGATGGGAGATGGTTTTCTTGAGTTGTGTGATCTAGGGATCGCGTAAGGTGTTCGATCTCAGGTCATCTCAGTCGTGTTTTGGCCTGTCGATTTTAAAGGGAACTCTAATACAGATCCAGATTACACTAATTTTTCGTGGGCTTAATTTTCCATAAGTTTAGATTCCAGTGCGCCAACGTTAATGAATAGGAAGAAACTGGTTATCAGTATAAAAGAACGTAGACTTACAGGAATATAGAATCACAATATAGAAAGGTGCAATATTCGGACAACGGGAACTGTTGGGATCGAGTTACCGATCCTCTCGATAACTCTTGATATCATATACACTAATTAACAGAGAGCTTTACTTTTACGGGTCCTTTTGGTAGCCCGCCTAGACAAAACCCTGGTTGAAATGCAGGACGCGGTCACTTTCGAATAGTTCAGCTTTGAAAGCAGTTTCAGAAAAGAGGACAAGTCCTATTACTACAGAGTAGTTTTCACAATGGTAAGAAATAAGTCCGTACAGTAGAACCTCGACATAACGAACCTCTATACAACGAAGTCTTTGGTATAACGGACGATTTTCCTTACCCCAGGAGTAGTAAAACATAACAAAAAGAACCTCGATATAAAGAAAACCTCGTTATAGCGAACAAATTTTGCCATTCCCTTGGCCATTCATTATATCGAGGTTCCACTGTAGTATTGCTTTTAAGTTTTGTAGAAGATCAGAAGTAAAGAAAACAAACAAATATTTTATTATACCTCGGTGCTTGCTGTAGGTCCCCTATACTTTGTTCGCGTAAAAGCGCTATCGGAGCTATTTTTTCCTTTGAAACTTGGCTCAAGTTTTTAGTTATTTGTGATTCGTGATTCCCCAATTTTACACGCACGTGAAAGTGGTTTTGGAATTAAGCGTGACACCTAAACGTAGATTTGATTTACACGTGATTCGTGATCTATATCATAAGCCGATTTTATTCTCGACGAATTTCTTTCGGCAGAAAGATCTTTGGGCCCCACAGCTTGTAGAGTGGTCTAGCGTGTGCAACTGTACCAGTCAATTGCAAAATCACCACCCCACCGGGAATACCCTGGGCATTTGACTGGAAGTTTAGTTCCGTACAATGGATGTACGGGGGATGGGTGGTTTGGAATTGACTAACGGACGAACGTACGATTTTTTCAGAACCAAATTTTTTTTATGCATAGATAACCAAATTTTCTTACCCGTGGTCCTCTGCTGCTCGCGCTTCGCGCACGCGAGAGCACAGCTAAAAACTAATTGTCCTATATCGCTGAATATAGATTTACATCAAAATTGTAAGCTCACTTTGTTTCGTTCATTTCATTTCTATTTTTTTTGTTCTTATAAAAGTAAAATCCGTCAACTTCTTGTCTTTACCTGTCATTTTTTTTGTTTTCAGATGAATTTATGACCCCCTTGAGAGGGATTAAATTAAAGTTATAGTTTTAGGTGACATGGGTAGGTATGAGACACTTCTGAATCTGTTCTACTTACCAACCAACACAAATCACAGGGAAGCCACACAATGTGTGTGTGTAACCGATTGTTATTTATAGTAAATGTACTGGATTTACCATTTGCTTCACCTATAACGACATATCGCTAATTATGTACATAAATTAATGTTAAATAACGTTGAATTACCTTAACTGTGGTATATCGTCGTCCTTTTGCCTCAAAAGCGGTTTTTTGAGCGATTTTGAATGTGAATACGATGTAATTAAACAATAAACGCTTACCGAGTCTTCTTTAAATCAGTTATGATTTAACCATTTGGTTAACGTCATCAAATCAAAAAGAGGCAATCAGCAGGACGGTTTTTTGGCTGGCACGTATGAATCTTGCTACACATTTTGACCGTTCAAAAACTGTGGGATTTTAATTCTCTTCGAGGGCTAGCTCCGGACTTTTTAGATGGATTTTCGATCGGAAGACACGAGGAAAAGAGTGATTCTTTCGGCCTTTTTGCCGCGAGGTTTGAAAGCGAAGCCATGCGATTTTCTGAGGGAAAATCGCTCCCGCGGTGGAGCCCTTTCAAAACAAGGATTCCTCCCTTGTCCTTTTATTGTTATGAACAAAAAACGGCGATCTCAAAATCCTTCAAAATCGCTCAAAAAACCGCTTTGGGGGCAAAAGGACAACGATATACCACAGGTAAGGTACTTCAACGTTAATTTAACATTGATTTCTATCCGTACTAAGCGATATATTGTTATAGGTGAAGCAAAAGGTAAATCCTGTACAGTTACTATAAAGTAACAATCGGTTACACACACACACACATTGCGTGGGCTGCCTGTGCACAAATTTACAAAGCACGGTGGGGCCAAACCTGGCCTGTGAGAGCATCAGTTTTTTTCGGCTCTAGTTTCTAGTTTCACCCGCCCAAAAAAACCGTCTTCTTTCCGTGTCGTCAGCTGTTAGTGACCAATCACAATTCACCTTGCATATTCGAGAAAGTAACGCGCGAGTTTTTGAGTGGATCTCGCGCAAACGCGTGGGAAAATATAGCGGAAGACGCGTTGAGGAAAGGATGGGAAGTTTTGTGGTTTGAAAGACTCAACATGCATCAAGAGGAAGCCTTGCGACTTGTTGTTGAATCAAAGAGCGATGTTTTTGTGAATTTTCCAACTGGTTTCGGGACATCTGTAGTATTTCAGGCTTTGCCTATTTTGTATTCTTATGTGGAACCAACTCGTGAAAAGAACATTGTGGGTGAAACTAGCAACTAGAGCCAAAAAAACCGGATGCTCTCTTAGGTAGCCTTTGTACAGCCGCCCTTTTTCTAGCCTGAGAACCGCAGACGTATTTTTTTTCCTCAGAACGACGCGTTTACGGAACGTGGGACTGATTGATGAAATAAGTACCAAGAGGGTTCATATTGAAAAAACGATTAGAGGAAATGTTTTACCTGTTTGCCTGCGGAGTCAATGACTTATCACACCTTGTTGTTTTGATCATATTCGAAATGATAAATGTCCTAGTGACAGTAGACGCTTTATGCCGTTTGTTGCTTCTGTTCCTTTCTGGTTCCTCACAGGGAAGTACGCTTTGGAGAACTCTTCCGATAGTTTGTCGTGTACCGCTTTTGATCATATTTTTCAGTATCATTTATCCTGTGGTAATTGATTTCTAGTGTGTGGTTGCTTCTTGGTTCAGACAGAACTTTGACCGGATCGAAAACATTGTACATTTGTTCTTATATTTCTTTAAATATATGTTCTTTTCAAGGTTTTAATTTCCATAGTTCTTTTATAAGATGAGTCGAAGCGTCGTAGCTGAAATGTCATCTTGAGTATGATCACGCTGGGTCTGGCTCAGGTTTATAATATTTCAGATCATTGTTTTCTGGCGATACTTGTAGGATTGTGAATTACTCACGAACGATTGTCAGAGATTTCTGAATCAGTCAAGGATTTGTCTGTACAATCGATTCACCACCTGTTGTCGGCGCTGGTTAAAATGAAATAAATCGCGGGTTTGAGCGCTATGTCCTTTCGCTGTAGGGATTATTTTGTCCAGGTTATGTTTATGTCACGTTCTACCGTATTTTTTAAAGCGAAACCTTAAGAAGCCGTTGCTTCACAAAGAAGCCAGCATTCAACGTCGCAGGAAACCTTGTTATAGTCGCGAAATTCACGTTCCAAAGCGTATTTAGTAACTCTCGCCAAAATCCAAGACACACTAGCGCGCGAGTTCGCGAAGAGTCACTCGAGCTGCATTCTAAACCATTGATCTGATTGGCGAACATCAAAACAAAAGGTTTTACGTCACGGAAATAGTTTTGTCGCTCATGTTTGCAGACGTTATTTTTCGGAGGTTTAGTTACACATAACACATCTTTACTGTCGAAAGCTAAAGGAAAAAGAAATTTGACAAAAAAAAATTACTAACTGCGAAAAAACCTGGAAAACAGTTTTGTGACGTCATAAAATGTCACGTGATATTTTTTTGCTTGCTTAAATTAGTGTTTATGAGTCAAAAAAGGAAAATCAAAGTTTGTGTTACTGAAAAACCAGCTTATTTAGCAAAAAACTGTGAAAAAAATATCATAGGGATCGTTTTTTAAACGAAAAGTATATGGTTCCGGGGAATTCACTTAAATTTCTTTCAAGTCCTATACCTCGGGTATTACGTGTCGTAGCGAGAAACGGTTTTCGCTGTTTTACTCCCCTTCTAAAGCTCTTTGAGATGATATAATTTTGATTTTAAAGTTAAAAAATGCTTTTAACCCATTTTGGCGACGTCAGTCGTTGTGACGTCACAATTTGACCTTTTGAGTCAAACAAAAACTTAAAATTATTTGATCAACAATCGAAATCTATATGGCAACTTTGGTCGAGAAATGAAAAGAAATGTAAAAGATAAGTAAATTTAGCCCTAATGATACATTTAAGGCGTGGTTTGGCCTCACCGTGAAGATATCTCGACGTTGGAAACTTCAAAAAAGTTGAATTTGCTATAAATTTATTTCAAAAGTGATTTGATCAAAACGTTAAACGCTAAAAGATTTTTAAAATACATTTAAAAAACATTTAAAAAAGTGAACGACCTTTCGGCGTTACGTTACGCCATTATCAAGTTGAAAAGTGAAAAAGTCACTTGCTTAGTCTACATCTCGTAGACTAAGCAATCAAACTTGCTAGTGGAATCGACCAATGTTTTCGGATAGCGCAGCTTTGAAACATGGTGCGTAACTTGTTGCATTCTTTTGCAAAACCTTCTTTGGTGGAAGATAGACGGCACGCACGGTTAACCATCGTGTTGACTAGGCCTTTCTTGTATCTGCTGTCGACGTGGCTTTGGAAATGGAGTGGCAGTCCGGTGTCGGATGGTTTTCTGTAGACTTCTGTTGTTAGAGTGCCACCACATCTTGTCAAAACTGTACCGAGGAACGGAATAGAGCCGTCATATTCAAGCGACTGAAAGTTTCAAAGTTATGAGGAAATGTAACAGCAAGTTTGATTGCTTAGTCTACGAGATGTTATACATAAAGGACATCAAACCTTCTCTTAACACGCAAGCCGACTCCGTTCGCGCCAAACTATTTACGTGACACTTTCGTACATTTTTGTCTCTTATTGTGTTCCTTACCTTGGGAATTATACCCATTGGACCCGCAAATATGTTATGTATTGTTTCAAATTTTATATATTCGTTTTACACCTTATACGTTTTCCTGACGTTTTTACTTTTCATCTTGATAATGGCGTAACGTAGCGCCGAAACGTCGTTCACTTTTTTAAATGTTTTTTAAATGTATTTTAAAAATCTTTTAGCGTTTAACTTTTTGATCAAATTATAAATTTATTGGAGACACTATAGAGTGGGCAAGTCAGTAATGGGAAATAATGTGACATTGAACACCGTTGTTCCTGAATAATTTGCTTTGCCTCGCTAAATTTTTTGTTTTTGCTGCTTTTTGAAGCAAGGACGAACTCACCAATGATTCAGTTTCAATTTTTGTTTAGTCAATAGTGCATGCTAAAAAAGCGCAGCAATTCCTCAAGCGATATATCATAATAACCTATTTGGTTAAGTTCTATCCATCAATGGTGGGATATAGCTGTTGCCCGTTTATTCCAGTCTATATGGTTTTTCGCTAGTCTGGTCCAAGTCGAACCTCCAGTCGCTTCAACATGAGGTGGCTTACTGCGCTTTTCACAAATGTGCGAATTCTGAAGTTTAAAAGCCAACTGACGATTGTGTTTTTCGCCGTCGTCAATCATCTTAGCGGACCTCTTAGGAAACAAAACTTTACTTAAACGGGTTCAAAAGGTCATGATTTGTGATTTGTGATTGGTGGATTTCGATCCGTTTTGTGTGTTTCCATGTTTCAAGGTTCGTTGCTTGTGATCGTAATTATGATTGACGGCAGCGAAAAACGCAATTGTGAAGGCGGCTTTTGAACTTTAGAGTTCACATTTTTGCTAAAAAGCGCAGTAAGCAACGACGACGGCGACGCCAGCGAGAACGGCAAAAGAAAAGCGATAGGTTTAGATTGGCAAAACAACAACCCTGCACGTGCATCACGCTTTTTTTGTACATTTCGTTGCCGTCACTGCACGTTTACGCCGTGAAAATGCCTATTTTCACGTTTTGTGGAGAACGTGAACATTGATTCATTCTTTCAGAAAAAAAAATTGTCAACATTTGATAACCTGAACACGACGAAATATGCGCGATAATGTTTGAAGAAGTGCGACTTCACTTTTTAAGTGACGTTTTCGCAGGCGTCGCCGTCGTTGTTGCTTAAGCTCTCTAATAGCATCACGTCAGCGTCTCAACGACGCCTTTTAGTATTTTGACGATCCAGCTTTTATATTTATTGTATTAAGCGGACTCCGATGATGAGGATTTTGACTTGATTCAACCATCGCTTATCCAGCAATTAAGAAAAATCTTAGATGAATACCCAGACGACGGACAGGTCTTGAAGGTAAAGTAAACCTTTTTTGCCAATAGCAAATAACAAATGAATATTATTATGAAAAAAAAACCCCGTAATCTTAGAGCGAAGTTGAAGTGTAAGGAACTATTCTCATTAACAGCAAGCTTTGAGAGACTGGGGCTCAAGTTCATTAAAAATTTTTGCGCTTCTAAAAAGAAAGGTCCTTCTCCCTGCCTCCCTCTCAGGCGCTTCGTTTTCACGCAGAGGCGAGCGCGATATACGAGGGACTGGCGACGAAGCGCAAGGGTCCATATGGGAAGGAGAAAGCACAGTTGAGAGACCTCTGGGTACGAGGCAGTCCTTCTCCCATAATTTAATCCAGACAGATCTATTAAATTGACGCTGTATTCTATCCGTGTCATGTTGTAGTTCACAATTGCTCCAAACGATGTCACAATAATCAAATAATGGAAGATAATGTTTACTTTTTTCTTAGAGTAGTAATCTTTATACTGTTTACGGTTCCTCAATAATACCCACGCATTGCTCGGTAGACTAGTTGTGATGTCTTTTGTTTTTCATTTTCAAGGAACTTATTCAAAATGCGGAAGATGCGGATGCTACACAAGTCAAATTCCTGCACGACAAACACAGCTATGGAACAGATAAGCTCTATAATGAGGAACTGGCAAAATTTCAGGTATCGCCTTCTCAGTTCGTTTTCATCTTAAACATGACCAAAGTGAGTTTCGTAGATAGTCTATCACAATGACTTTCCAATCCACCCTGCTTGTCCTTTTTTTCAAGACAGCCCCCTAAATCACTACCGGTCTTCTCTAACTTTCCGACCTTCTTGCCTCAAACAAATTGCTCTTTTTTAATGTAGTCATTCTCACTTCCTTTATATGAGTAAATGGCCTGACAAACTCAACATCCCACGTCCAACCGCACCCACAACTCATGCCGATGCCGTCATAAGCTTTTGATAAAGTTGCTAAATAAAGCTATATAGCTCGGTGGTCACTCTGTTGATGGCCACTTGACCATAGCGGGGGCTCTTGCTCTAGTCCTGGCAGATATATTCATTCTTGTTTCAAGGTCTTATAAACGGCCTTCTTCCCTACGGCCCTCTGTGTCTGATCTCAAGATGAGCCTTTTGAAAAGGTTCGACTATAATTGAGACGTCATATCAAAGGTATACAAAAAAAATATGAGTTAAGCAACTTATATCTTGGTTGTGAGGTGTCAGATCCTCGCCAGGTAGCTTATGGTGTACCTCAAGGGTCGATCTTGGGACCAGCCCTTTTTAATATATACATCAACGATCTTCCAGCTGTCCCTAACCTGTGCTCACTAAAGAGTTACGTGGATGATTCCCAGCTCTATCTCTCGTTTCCTGTCCAGGAGACAGCCATGGCTGTGGAACATTTATCCGAAGATTTGCAACGGATTGCCGCCTGGTGTTGCACACACAGCTTGCTGATAAATCCAGATAAGACTAAGTTATTGCTTCTTGGAACCCCGCAGATGTTAGCTAGTGTGCCGGAGGGTTTTGGAGTTACGCTACTCGGTAAGGAGATTCTACCGTCTCGTTCTGCAAAAGATTTGGGGGTCATCGTGGACTCGCGCCTTAGTTTTGACGAACATGTGACCGATGTTGTATCTAAGTGTACAGGTAGCCTGTGCCAAATCAATCGTGTGAAACATTTGTTTGATAGGTCTACGCTCATAACCATCATAAATTCATTAGTGTTCAGCAAGATTTTCTATTGTTCCTCCATGTGGTCTAGTACAACAAAAAAGAACATTGCTAGGCTTCAAAAAGTTCAGAATTTTGCGGCACGGATTGTGACTGGCACAAGAAAGTATGAGCACATCACGCCGATGTTAAAGGAACTCCACTGGTTGCCGGTTGCTAAGCAACTGGAGGTTAGAGACATTTTAATGGCTTTCAAATGTATAAAGGGATTAGCCCCACCATCCTTGTGTAATAAGTTTTCGACAAGAAGGCAGATGCATACTAGAAATACTAGGAATAAAGATAAACTTCATGTACCATCTTTTAGATCAGCAACAGGTCAGCGATCTTTCTCATATAGGGCTGTTCAGCTCTGGAATGACCTTCCAGAAAGTTTAGCAAACATAGAGTCATTTAATGTTTTTAAGAATGCGATTAAAGGACGTGCCCTTGACGAGTTTTTAAGCCATTGACACTCAATAGGTGTAATTATGCATATTTTATATTTTTTAAATAGTATGGTAATGTTTTTTCACTTTCAAATGTTTATATTGAATTTCTATTGTTCATATTAGATTTTATTGTAATTGGTATGTGAAAACCCATTTTAATTGGATGTACCAATAAAGTTGATTTGATTTGATTTGATATCCCTTTACTTCTATATAGGGTCCAGCACTTTATGCCTGCAACAACTCGAAATTTACCAAAGAAGATTGGAGAGGCATCCGTTTGGTCTGTGATAGCATCAAAGTGGAGGATCCCATGAAAGTCGGTCGCTTTGGTTTGGGATTCAAATCTGTTTTTCACATGACAGGTAACGCAAAATACCTTCCAGTTAAGCCAAAGATAAAAATTATTTTTTGGCGTTTTTTTTTTATCTGTTGCGTTATCTGCTCCAAAAACGGTACAAAAGCGTGGCGACCAACAATCTGCCATGTCAGCGTTGCGCAAAACCACTTAGATGTCGTCATCCTGACAACGACATTACATTGAGGTGGTAGTTCATGTGACTTACTCAAGGCTTACAAAAGTCGGTAGGTGGCCTGAATTGACGCAAAGCTGCTATGGTTGAAAAAAGGGAAGCTGTAGACTTTACAGGCCTTTGTATCTAAACTATTCAATATACCGTATTGAGACCTTATCAGTAGGAAAATGTCATTAATAGATAGGTGTCGTCCCATTACAGTGGTGTCTGTTATAGAGAGGTGTCAGGATGGTGAGGTTCGAAAGTGATGCATATTATTAAAGTTTAGTAATTTACTTATACGTACGTGGCTCTTTCTCAACTCAGATTTGCCAAGCTTGATCAGTGATTCGCGGATTGGCTTTATTGATCCTCATGGCGTTCATTTTTCGGACAGACGTCGCATACGAACAGGGAAGTACTGGCGATTTGACGAAGACCGTGCGACCATCGATGCGTTTTCTGACCAATTCCTTCCTTACAAAGGCATATTTAACTGTACGGATGAAGTTTTCTCCCAGGGATTCTATGATGGAACTCTATTCCGTTTTCCCTTCAGACAGGAAACCTCGGACCTTTCAGAAACACTGTACAACGCAGATAAGATGACGACCTTGTTTGACAGTTTCAAAGCTACGCGTGGGAAAATATAGCGGAAGACGCGTTGAGGAAAGGATGGGAAGTTTTGTGGTTTGAAAGACTCAACATGCATCAAGAGGAAGCCTTGCGACTTGTTGTTGAATCAAAGAGCGATGTTTTTGTGAATCTTCCAACTGGTTTGGGGACGCCTGTAGTATTTCAGGCTTTGCCTACTTTGTAGTCTTATGTGGAACCAACTCGTGAAAAGAACATTGTGGGTGAAACTAGCAACTAGAGCCAAAAAAACCGGATGCTCTCTTAGGTAGCCTTTCTACAGCCGCCCTTTTTCTAGCCTGGGAACCGCAGACGTTTTTTTTTCCTCAGAACGACGCGTTTACGGAACGTGGGACTGATTGATAAAATAAGTACCAAGAGGGTTCATATTGAAAAAACGATTAGAGGAAATTTTTTACCTGTTTGCCTACGGAGTCAATGATTTATCACACCTTGTTGTTTTGATCATATTCGAAATGATTAGACGCTTTATGCCGTTTGTTGCTTCTGTTCCTTTCCGGCTGGTTCCTCACAGGAAAGTATGCTTTGGAGAACTCTTCCGATAGTTTGTCGTGTGCCGCTTTAGATATTTTTTAGTATCATTTATCCTGTGGTAATTGATTTCTAGTGTGTGGTTGCTTCTTGGTTCAGACAGAACTTTGACCGGATCGAAAACATTTTACGTTTGTTCTTATATTTCTTTAAATATATGTTCTTTTCAAGGTTTAATTTCCATAGTTCTTTTATAAGATGAGTCGAAGCGTCGTAGCTGAAATGTCATCTTGAGTATGATCAGGCTGGGTCTAGCTCAGGTTTATAATATTTCAGGTCATTGTTTTTTGGCGATACTTGTAGGATTGTGAATTACTCACGAACGATTGTCAGAGATTTCTGAATCAGTCAAGGATGTGTCTGTACAATCGATTCACCACCTGTCGTCGGCGCTGGTTAAAATGAAATAAATCGCGGGTTTGAGCGCTATGTCCTTTCGCTGTAGGGATTATTTTGTCCAGGTTATGTTTATGTCACGTTCTACCGCATTTTTTAAAGCGAAACCTTAAGAAGCCGTTGCTTCACAAAGAAACCAGCATTCAACGTCGCAGGAAACCTTGTTATAGTCGCGAAATTCACGTTCCAAAGCGTATTTAGTAACTCTCGCCAAAATCCAAGACACACCAGCGCGCGTGTCGCGAAGAGTCACTCGAGCTGCATTCTACCCTTTGATCTAATTGGCGAACATCAAAACAAAAGGTTTTACGTCACGGAAATAGTTTTGTCGCTCATGTTCGCAGACGTTATTTTTCGTTTTTTTTACTGTCGAAAGCTAAAGGAAAAAGAAATTTGACAAAAAAAATTCCTAACTGGAAAACAGTTTTGTGACGTCATAAAATGTCACGTGATAATTTTTTTTTGCTTGCTTAAATTAGTGTTTATGAGTCAAAAAAGGAAAATCAAAGTTTGTGTTACTGGAAAACCAGCTTATTTAGCAAGAAATTGTGAAAAAAAATATCATGGGGATCGTTTTTTAAGGAAAAGTATATGGTTCTGGGAAATTCACTTAAATTTCTTTGAAGTCCCATACCTCGGGTATTACGTGTCGTAGCGAGAAACGGTTTTCGCTGTTTTACTCCCCTTCTAAAGCTCTTTCAGATGATATAATTTTGACTTTGAAATTAAAAAATGCTTTTAACCCATTTTGGCGACGTCAGTCGTTGTGACGTCATAATTTGACCTTTTGAGTCAAACAGAAACTTAAAATTATTTGGTCAACAATCGAAATCTATCTGGCAAGTTTGGTCGAGAAATGAAAAGAAATGTAAAAGATAAGTAAATTTAGCCTTAATGATACATTTAAGGGTTGGTTTGGCCCCACCGTGAAGATATCTCGACGTTGGAAACTTCAAAAAAGTTGAATTTACTATAAATTTATTTCAAAAATGACTTGATCAAAAGTTAAACGCTAAAAGATTTTTAAAAAAACATTTTAAAAACATTTTAAAAAGTGAACTACGTTTCGGCGCTACGTTTCGCCTGTCTGGTCCAAGTCGAACCTCCAGTCGCTTCAACATGAGGTGGCTTACTGCGCTTTTCACAAATGTGCAAATTCTGAAGTTTAAAAGCCAACTGACGATTGTGTTTTTCGCCGTCGTCAATCATCTTAGCGGACCTCTTAGGAAACAAATCTTTACTTAAACGGGTTCAAAAGGTCATGATTTGTGATTTGTGATTGGTGGATTTCGATCCGTTTTGTGTGTTTTCATGTTTCAAGGTTCGTTGCTTGTGATCGTAATTATGATTGACGGCAGCGAAAAACGCAATTGTGAAGGCGGCTTTTGAACTTTAGAGTTCACATGTTTGTTAAAAAGCGCAGTAAGCAACGACGACGGCGACGCCAGCGAGAACGGCAAAAGAAAAGCGATAGGTTTAGATTGGCAAAACAACAACCCTGCACGTGCATCACTCTTTTTTTGTACATTTCGTTGCCGTCACTGCACGACTACGCCGTGAAAATGCCTATTTTCACGTTTTGTGGAGAACGTGAACATTGATTCATTCTTTCAGAAAAAAAAATTGCCAACATTTGATAACCTGAACACGACGAAATATGCGCGATAATGTTTGAAGAAGTGCGACTTCACTTTTTAAGTGACGTTTTCGCAGGCGTCGCCGTCGTTGTTGCTTAAGCTCTCTAATAGCATCACGTCANGATTGGCAAAACAACAACCCTGCACGTGCATCACTCTTTTTTTGTACATTTCGTTGCCGTCACTGCACGACTACGCCGTGAAAATGCCTATTTTCACGTTTTGTGGAGAACGTGAACATTGATTCATTCTTTCAGAAAAAAAAATTGCCAACATTTGATAACCTGAACACGACGAAATATGCGCGATAATGTTTGAAGAAGTGCGACTTCACTTTTTAAGTGACGTTTTCGCAGGCGTCGCCGTCGTTGTTGCTTAAGCTCTCTAATAGCATCACGTCAGCGTCTCAACGACGCCTTTTAGTATTTTGACGATCCAGCTTTTATATTTATTGTATTAAGTGAACTCTGATGATGAGGATTTTGACTTGATTCAACCATCGCTGATCCAGCAATTGAGAAAAATCTTAGATGAATACCCAGACGACGGACAGGTCCTGAAGGTAAAGTAACCTTTTTTGCCAATAGCAAATAACAAATGAACATTATTATGAAAAAAAAAACCGTAATCTTAGAGCGAAGTTGAAGTGTAAGGAACTATTTTCATTAACAGGGCAAGCTTTGAGAGACTGAGGCTCAAGTTCATTAAAAATTTTTGCGCTCCTAAAAAGAAAGGTCCTTCTCCCTGCCTCCCTGTCAGGCGCTTCGTTTTCACGCAGAGGCGAGCTCGATATACGATGGACTGGTGACGAAGCGCAAGGGCCCATATGGGAAGGAGAAAGCACAGTTGAGAGACCTCTGGGTACGAGGCAGTCCTCCCAAAATTTAATCCAGACAGATCTATTAAATTGACGTTGTAGTCTATCTATGTCATGTTGTAGTTCAATTATTGCTCCAGACGATGTCGCAATCAAAACATAGGCACGTTAAACGTGCATGAGCTATTTTGAATCCTTCAGTGTAACTTTAATGCTTCAGTGTAACCTTACCAAGAGTGATGAATCTACCTTTTTCGTCTTAAATGTAGACTGGGTTTTTGTGCGAAATTGGGTATTGCCGTAACATAAATGAAAACGCGAAACGCTCAGCTTCCTCAATCCTCATGCTATATATTCACTTTTCTCTGTCTTTCCCTGTTACATTTCGTGCAAGTTAAACAAATTGTTAAAGTAAAATAAATATCTACTCACCAAACGTTGATTAGAAGGAAAACTCTAAGGTTTCCTCAGAGTCTCTTGAGCCAAAATGTGACTCATCGAATTCGAGTAATTAAGAAATACCAGGATTTTTATCATTGTGGTAGATGGTTGCATCATCACAATTCACGAGGTTTTCACGTGTGATTCTACTCAGTGAAACAAACAGTCTTTAACTCCGACAACTTATTTCTTCATGTTTTAAAAGCTGTTGCTTCTTAAAAGATAAGAGCCTTTTTTAAGACATTGGTTACAAAAGAAACAGGTCTTCATACGTTCAAGTTACTATTGTTATTGTGAAAAGCCAATCTGTATGAGATGTACAGTCACACAACTGGCACGTGAAAGTGTTGGACTTTGCCCCCTTTCGTTGTTCGTGCGTGAGGCAATTCGAGTTATCACACAGTAATCTAGTAAACAGAATTCTAAAAATAACTCATGCACACAATTTGCACGTGAAGATGTTGGTCTTTGGCTCTTTTACAATTCGTACGTAAAAAAAACGCCAATTGTTTACTACAAAATTTTCTCAAACGATTTTAAGAAATCACCTCGGTTTCATTATAACATCGCCAATTAAATTATGTTTCATGCAACGTCAAGGTTGATAGCGTAACATTTATTAACTTCCAAGAAAATTATCAAACTGCAGAAATATATTTCTGCTCATATCACGTTACTCCACTCAGTAAAACAGTGTCTAATTATTGTGTCAACTAGCTTCTTCCAATTTCATTCCCTAACGCTACTGTTTCTACTTAAGTTACGCATCCTTACTAAATAATATACGTTTCAATAACTATAATGCTTAGTATGCTGGAAGGATGTATCATGTTGTTCACTTATTATTCTTTTTTTTTTGCCGGAACGAAAAAGGTCTGTTGAACTTTGTAAGCGAGAGAATAATATTTTTAAAGCTTGTTTACAGGATTAACAATACTCGGTACAGCTTTCAAAAATAAGCTGCCTTTTAAACTTGTAAAACCATATTTAATAGGCCGCATACTTTCGAATTAAAGTCCATATCTAAATATCAATTATTGCTTCACCGGAAGAGCTTTGAAAATATACGATCTTTTATACTCTACCTTAAAGCAGGTGAAACACAACTCGTAAATACGTGCGTCAGTACCGTTAGCGATAGCCGAATTCGGTTAGAAATGTCTTGAAGTAGCATCCACACTAAAATATGAACCCTAAACAGCTGCATCACTGTACACAGCGTTTGAATCATGAAGATATTTAATATAATGTTTCCAAACACCTGTAGCCGTAATAAAAGATGAAAAAATTGTGAAGAATCAAGATGGCGGTCTCAAAGTGCTCTTGTTTGACCTTAAGCAATGTCATGTTTAAGTAGATGTCAAGATCTCATTGGTTCCCAAGCATTAACTCATAGTACCTTCAACCTTATTGGCTCTTGCAACAAACATCCGAACATACAAAGATACAAAGATACAAAGATACAAAGCCACAAAGATACATACGCTCACACCATTGACATATGAGCTATTTTTTCAAAATAGCTCAATGATGGAAGATAATGTTCACTTTGTTCTTAGAGTAATAATCTTTATACTGTTTACAGTTCCTCAATAATACCCACGCATTTCATCTGTTGACGAGTTGTGGTGTCTTGTTTTTCATTTTCAAGGAACTTATTCAAAATGCGGAAGATGCGGGTGCCACTAAAGTGAAATTCCTGCACGACAAACACAGCTATGGAACAGATAAGCTCTATAACGAGGAACTGGCAAAATATCAGGTACTACCTTCTCAGTTCGTTCTCATCTTGAACATGACCAAAGTGCCTAGACATGAGTTTCGTAGATAGTCTATCACGATGACTGTCCAATCCACCCTGCTAGTCCCTTTTTTCAAGACAGCCGCTCAAGTCGTCACCCGCCTTCTCTAACTTTCCGACCTTCTGGCCTCAAACAAATTGTTGTTTTTTAATGTAGTCATTCTCACTCCCTCTCCTGAGTAAATGGCCTGGCAAACTCAAAATCCTACGCCCTACCGCACCCACAACTCATGCCGATGCCGTCGTAAGCTTTTGATAAAGTTGCTAAATAAAGCTATATAGCTCAGTGGTCACTCTTTTGATGGCCACTTCACCGTAGCGGAGGCTCTTGCTCTTGTCCCGGCAGACATATTCATCCTTGTTTCAAGGTCTTTTAAACGGCCTCCTTCCCTACGGCCCCCTGTGTCTGTTCTCAAGATGAGCCTTTTGAAGAGGTTCCACTATATTTGAGACGTCATATCAAAGGCATCCAAAAAAATATAAGAGTTAAGGAACTTATATCCCTTTAATTCTATATAGGGTCCAGCACTTTATGCCTTCAACAACTCGAAATTTACCAAAGAAGATTGGAGAGGCATTCGTTTGGTCTGTGATAGTATCAAAGTGGAGGATCCCATGAAAGTCGGTCGCTTTGGTTTGGGATTTAAATCTGTTTTTCACATGACAGGTAAAACAAAATACCTTCCAAGTAAGCCAAAGACAAAAATTGATTTTTGGCGTTTTTTTTTTATCAGTTGCGTTATCTGCTCCAAAAAAGGTACAAAAGCGTGGCGACCAACAATCTTCCATGTCATCGTTGCGCGAAACCACTTAGATGTCGTCATCGCAACGACATTACATTGAAGTAGTAGTTCATACGACTTACTCAAGGCTTACAAAAGTCGGTAGGTGCCCTGAATTGACGGAAAGCTGCTATGGTTGAAAAGGGTAGCTGTAACCAGACTTTACAGGCCCTTGTATCTAAACTATTAAATATACCGTATTGAAACTTTATCAATAAGAAAATGTCTGTAATAGACAGGTGTCGTCCACATTACAGTGGTGTCTGTAATAGAGAGGTGTGAGTATGGTGAGGCTCGAAAGTGATGCATATTATTTAAATTTAGTAATTTACTTATACGTACGTGGCTCTCTCTCAACTCAGATTTGCCAAGCTTGATCAGTGATTCGTGGATTGGCTTTATTGATCCTCATGGTGTTCATTTTTCGGATAGGCGTCGCATACGAACAGGGAAGTACTGGCGATTTGACGAAGACCGTGCGTCCATCGATGTGTTTTCTGACCAATTCCTTCCTTATAAAGGCATATTTAACTGCACAGATGAAGTTTTCTCCCAGGGATACTATGATGGAACTCTATTCCGTTTTCCCTTCAGACAGGAAACCTCGGACCTTTCAGAAACACTGTACAACGCAGATAAGATGACGACCTTGTTTGACAGTTTCAAAGCCGATGCTCCCTTGATACTCCTGTTTTTGCAGAGTCTGGAATCTGTTGAGCTTTATACCGGAGAGGAATCAGAGTCCAACCCCAGAAGAATCTTTCAAGTGAAGATTGCGGAGAAATGCCTCACAACAGTTCGTGGGAAGAGAAAGGAGTTTCTGGAAAAAATAACACCTGGTAAAGTGATGCCCAAACCAGTCACAGTGAGTTACCCAATAACCATTGAAACAATAAACTTCGAGACGCACTAGACAGAGCAACACTCATTCTTTGTTACAAACTACTTCTGTGGTGGGCAAGTATCTTCTACGTTCACGAAATTGATGGCAGATAAGGATCTCAGCTATCTCCCAACAGTTGGTGTTGCTATGGCATTGCCAGAAGGTCCACAGTTGCAGACGCCAGATATCGAAGGCCATGTGTTTTGTTTCTTGCCGTTACCAATCCAGACGAAAAGCTTAACTGGTTTGCCTGTGCACGTCAATGGTTTCTTCGCTTTGAGTCAGAATAGGCGTTACATTAAGTCTCCAAATGCAGACCAAGAATATCGCCAGAAGGCAGGGCGTAGGATGACTGATAAGTCCTTGTTATGGAACAAGTGTCTTCTCGAAGAAGCCCTTCCCAAGGCTTACGCCACCATGATTTTGGAAGCCATAAAGGAGAAGTCTGTCTTCATTTCCAGGACCGCAATCTATAAGTAACATGCCTAAATACAGCCCTAATCAACTTTGTTTGCCACTCAGTTTCTTCACTCCTGTAAAAGATTCATCTTCAATTGTACGATTCTCGAAAAAGAATCGCTTACTTGCGTTTACTTGAAAGATCTCAACAAGATATTTGGTGAAATAGAAAAAAGCAGCATGTCCTTCTATCTTCAACAGGAAGTGGAGCAAATGCAACTACTGTTTCTGAGTTGTTAGGTCAATCAAATGATTTCTGTTGGATGGTTAGAGACGTCTTCATTTTCTGTGCAGTTTTCGCGAACAAAGTCGTAGTCAGTCATCCTGACTGAAGTTTTTTTTATGGAAAAAAAAATTTTCAACTCCAACTTAAGAAGACAGGATAAGATTAACAATGAATGATAATCCTTAAAATATATTCAGAGAACATAACATAACAGTTTGTCGAAATGAATTGACACTTAGCTGAAAAGCTACTGAGTTTTACTGGAAAACTCACAAAAGAATATTTGCAATAAAAAGATTAAATCTTTCTTACTAAAAAATTATATAGAGTAAGCTTATAACGCCTTCAAATATACTTGTAATTAAAGTGAAACTCTTACAAATCATTGTTATCTGAGGTTAGAGGATTTCTATATTCACTGTGCTGTGCGTATTAACTGGATAAGTATGGCAGGTCTGTCATAAACCACCACCTACAGCGAAAGTGTGATCTCTTTTTGTTGTTGTTATTCATATAAAGAGGTACTGCTTATTCAAGGTAAAGAAAACCGGGAGTCGCAGTAAGTACGCGCATTTTGTATCTCGTTTCAGAGCGTGGCCTGATATCAACATTATAGACAAGCAGTGGAAAGGGCTTGAGGAACCTTTATTTCGGTTGCTTTTGGCAAAGAACGTTGTTCACACAGAAGCAAAACGTGGATGGCTGGCAGTTTCAGAAGCGCTTTTTCATCGTCGAACAGACCGCAAAGAACATCAGCTGCTTCTTGAGGTTCTGCTATCAGTCGGTGTCCCTGCTATCACTGTTCCAAGTCATGTGCTGCAGGCTGTGGATGTCTATGCACCAGGTCAAAAGGAAATCACGCCCCCTCTGACGCGACATGTATTAAGGAAGGTACCCTCATGCTACACTAGTCTTCATAAGACGGAGAAGTTGCTACTTCTCCAGTTCTGTCTCAGTGATCATCTTTTCGAAGATCTGGATAACCTAAAGCTTCTACCATTAGCCAACGGAACTTTTGATAAATTTGACAGTCACACTTCCACAGTTTACATAACCTCTCCAGAACATCCTCAAGAACTGTTTCCAGACATACCTGAAAAATTTTTGCAGAAAGATTTAGAAGAAGATATTCTTCAAAACCTAAGAAGTGCAGCTTCTGAAGGTAGGCGTAATAGTAATTAAAAAATATTAATACAGGACGTCGCCGTCACCCATGGGTGGTTTTCAGACGAGACCTGTCACTAAATTAAAACCATACTAAACAAAAAAAAACACTAAATACGTAAAATAGACAGTAAAAAGTACGAAGTCTCATTTTCTCTATCAAAATTATGCTAAAAGATGTAAAACAGTTTCTAAAAACTGCGAATACTTTCACTGTTTCTGAGTTTAAGAGGAATATCGTTCCATTCTTTGAATAGAAGATATGAAGAACGCAGTTGGCCTTTACTACAACGAGGCATTTTTTTTTTTCAAACGGACGTGCTTATAATTATTGTGTTTAAACACACTAGGACAAACTCAACTACAACTCCTTAGAAGTCATCACGTACCTGAACTTCTTTGGCAGTCGCTTCCGCAAGACTGGAAGAAAGGCGACTCAATCTTGTGGTATCCAGATANCACTAGGACAAACTCAACTGCAACTCCTCAGAAGTCATCACGTACCTGAACTTCTTTGGCAGTCGCTTCCGCAAGACTGGAAGAAAGGCGACTCAATCTTGTGGTATCCGGATAGCCCCAGTCACCATCATCCTTCACGGACGTGGATTCAGTCGCTCTGGAATTATCTGCAACGCCATTTTAAAACTGAGAGGGATATTCGCAAACTCGAAGGACTACCTCTGATCCCATTGAGTATGTCTCGGACACCTGTTACCTTGACTCGTCTCTCCCGCCCCAGCAGGACTGTTGTCAGACGTTCATAAGCTACCATCCAGGTGTTGTGGGAACCTATGTGAATTTACCAACTGTCCCGGGCGCTGTGAAAGCAATGATGACAACTGCCTCATCTTTGCCCTCAGGAAGATTTCTAGAAATTATTCAAAAAGAAGCTTCCACTAAAGAAAAGCTTGCTTTGAGATCATTTCTTGCAAATGTCCGACCATCTGACGTAGTAAAGGAGGGATATAGCGCCTTTTTTTGCTCCCTTCCCATTTTTGAGACTCTCTTCAAGAGGTTCGTTTCCAAGAATGATGGCCTAAGTGCTGCGCGTGCTAAGGCTCTTCCGGTTCCTCCACTGCATGATCTTATTGATATTTCAAACGACGATTCCAGGATTTTAGCACAACTCCTAAAAATCAAGATTCTACAGCCTATTGATGTTCTATGCAAAATGATCTTTCCGGACATAAATGAAGGACGCTACAATGACGAACAAATTGATAAGGTGATGTTCTACGTGCTTGGATGTTTTACAAATACTATCCTTCAAAATGATAGTTTCAAGCGGCAAGTACAAGCTTTATCCTTTGTCCCAAAGAAGAGAGAACGGGTTAGGGCGTCAGGTGTGTTTGATCCCAGAATCGAAACACTGAAAAGGATATTTGCCCAAGAAGACGTCTTTCCCGTCGGTGAGATGTACAATGAACCAACTACACTCGTTATTTTGGAGAAGCTTGGAATGAAAAACGAATCCAACGTCACTGCCAGAGACCTCTTCCACAGTGCTAATCAAATAAGCAGACTTTCACAACACCAAACAGCAATACAGAAGTCTAAGGCAATTTTACATCATCTGAACACTCATCCCAAGATGCTGAGGAAAACAGTCGATGGAAAAGAGCTGGGATTGTTACTGATGAAAATTCAGTGGCTGACACGATTGCGACAGAAAGCATCACTTTTTCCTCCTTCGCTTGCGTTGTGGAAAACTAAAGAAGGAGATGAATGCTTTTTCAAGCCAACCGAGCTGAAGAGTCCTGCACTCGTGAATCTCGTTGGAACTGTTAAGCCCGTTGTAGAACTAGAGCCATTAAATGAAGTTTCTGAGTACTTTGGCTGGCAAAAGCTCTCTCTTTCTAATGTTGCATTGCAGCTGCGAAATGTAATACATTGTTATTCCAAAGAAGAGAAACCATATTACATGGTTATATTAAACGAAATTTACTCCTTCCTCAGTCGTGGAAACTACCAAACCTTAAGTGAGGCATTTCAGAGAGCAGGAATCGTCAACTGGGTATGGAATGGAGATGGCTTTTCCTCCCCTGACCAAATGCTTTCCAGTAAACCACGAATTGATCTTGCGCCCTATATACGTCCTCTTCCCTCTGAGATGAAGACGTTCATCCACCTTTTTCATTGTTTTGGAGTTAAATCACAGAGTGATTCAACTATCCTATTGCACGTTCTCTACGCGATCAAAGAAAAGTATGACTCTGCACTGTCTTCATTATCAGTTTTTGAAGTACGTCACGACGTACAGTTATCTGTTGGCATATTAAACGAGNGTATGGAATGGAGATGGCTTTTCCTCCCCTGACCAAATGCTTTCCAGTAAACCACGAATTGATCTTGCGCCCTATATACGTCCTCTTCCCTCTGAGATGAAGACGTTCATCCACCTTTTTCATTGTTTTGGAGTTAAATCACAGAGTGATTCAACTATCCTATTGCACGTTCTCTACGCGATCAAAGAAAAGTATGACTCTGCACTGTCTTCATTATCAGTTTTTGAAGTACGTCACGACGTACAGTTATCTGTTGGCATATTAAACGAGGTGACACAAGAAGAATTACCACCAGATATTCAAGAGAGGATTGTGATTCCTGTTTACATAGAGGACAACACATATGTACGACTTGAACCAGTGGAGCGCTGCATGTACAGTGAAGACAGCGATTGGCTGATGAACGGAGGCGACGATGAAGATATGGACTACTTCTACGTGCACCCCAATGTTCCTCATCTCACTGCTCAACGTCTTGGTGTTCCTTCTCTTACAAATCGAATGTTGGATCCTGACGAGCTCTTCATAGGAGAAGAATTTGGCCAGCACGAAAAGCTTACTACTCGTCTTAACAAACTACTACGAGACTACACCGATGGATTTGCAGTGCCAAAAGAGCTAATTCAAAACGCAGATGATGCAGGTGCTACTGAGGTTAAATTTCTTTACGATGAACGAACTAATCAGGATGCTATAACCTGCCTCCTTGACCAAGGGATGAAAGATTGGCATGGTCCCGCTTTATGGGTGTACAACGATGCAACGTTTAAAGATGAAGATTTCGTTAACATCACGAAACTAAATGAAGCAACCAAAGCGCATGACACCGCAAAGATCGGCAGATTTGGACTTGGATTCAATGCAGTGTACAACCTGACAGATGTGCCCATGTTCGTAAGTAAGAACTTTTTGGCCATTTTTGATCCTCACACTTCCTTCCTGGGAAAAGTGATCAGAAACGTAAGAAGACCAGGAATTAAACTCAATCTCAACAAAAACGTCAAAAGGCTGAAAAAATTCAAAAATCAGTTTAAGCCCTTCAATGGCATCTTTGGCTGTGATTTACATCTTGATAAACAGGACAGCTCATTTGATGGAACCCTTTTTCGATTTCCACTGCGGACGAGAGATCAGGCTTCCGCGAGTGAAATTAAGAAGTTATGGTACAACCAAGAGGAGATGAGAGAATTGTTGCAAATGTTTCTCCAGGGGGCGAAGAATGTACTTCTTTTCACTCAAAATGTTCTAAGTGTGGGAATTTATCACTTGCCGAACACAGAAAGTCAAGATCCAGAACTTACATTGATGTTTCAGGTCACGAAATCGGCTTCCCATTCAGGAATCCTGAGAGAACTGTCGTTTACATTTACCCTTCCTCCAACTTCATTTAAGCTTACTCCAAAGGAAATTAGTTTTCTTCAACAGTGCAACTTCCTTCAAGCTTCATCAAAAAGCAAGATGATGGCACATGGCAAGAAAGTCGACCCCCCAAATTTTCCAAAGTCGTCCATGATAGTTGACGTCGAGTGCAGGCTAACAAAAAGTGGTTCTGATTTCTTTCATGACGGTTTTCATATGGAAAAGGCAACATGGCTCATTGTTTCGTCTATGGGGAATGGCCAAGCTCTGAAGTTTGCAAATGACGATGCCAGCCTTCTTCCATCAGCAGGAGTAGCCGTTCAGTTGCTTCCAACAGAGTGAAACTCTTTCTTGCCCTTGCCAGTTTCGAATACATTTAATGGTTTGGATGTCAAAGGCGCTATATTCTGTTACCTGCCACTACCAATTTACAGTGGCCTACCATTTCACATAAATGGAGCATTCGCCATGGCCTCGAATAGGCGGTTTTTACAAATAAAATTGAAAGAAGATAAGTCGTGTTACGGAGTGGAATGGAACAAGGTACTGCTGCAAGACTCCGTGACGTCTGCGCTCTTAGATCTTCTCGAAGACATGAAAGGTCTTGTTCCCAAAGATGGCTCATACAAGTTCCATTGTTTATGGCCAAAGACGTCGGAAAACTGTTTGCCACTAGTAAGGTCCTTCTACACACAACTCAGCAGGGGTGGGTATCCTCTTTTCTCTAATGGAGAGCACTGGGCAGATATCAAGCAGGTCATTTTCCTTGATCCACATTTCCGAAAAAAAGTCCAGATTGGAGAGGCTGCAAATAAGGTTCTTAAAATGTGTCACAGAGGAAGAGAAATAGTCGTAGACCTACCTTCCGATATTTTGCATGCTTTTGAAAAGTTTGGCCAGGAGGAAGTAATCAATGCCAGAAGATATCGCAAGAACAGATTTTTTCGGGAAGTTCTCTTTCCAAACCTTCACATCCTTCCGGAGAATCTTAGAGATGTCCTCATTCTACATGCATTAGATGACAAAAGTGAGGAGTTCCATGACTTGCTAAGGCTGCACCCTTGTGTTCCATCTTCACCAACTGGCAATGTCTTGAATACTCCAAGCTCCTTCGTGCATCCCTACGGAGAAGCAGCCTCACTATTTTCCTCTGAAGATGGTAGATTTCCATATAGGACTAAGGAATCGTATGTTCACCCACAAAGGTTGGCGAAGCTTGTACAACTGGGAATGTTATCGAATGATCTTCCTTGCATTGGTGCGATCTTTTAGAACGAGCCGAGGCATCCAAAAGCTTAATTCACTTAACAATAGAGAGGCATTGACGCGCATAACAGCACTGTTATCGTTTATGGAGAAGAAGTTAATTCGCCAAGAGAAACCTTCACCTCAGATTTCTGCTCGCTTGTTAAATACTAAATTTCTTCCCATTCTCCAGAAACCAAGAGAATTTCCTCTCCCTTGGAAGGGAGAAGAACTTGTAGAAAATTCACAGGTACTGCTGGCACCGAATGAAGCTTTTCTAGAAGAGAAAAAGTACTTAGTGTGCTGCACAGTACCATTAATTGGGGTTTCCGTTCCAAAGGAATTGAGATCCCTGTTAGATCTAGACAAAAAGGGAATTACATTGGATCAAGTGGTGCAACAACTGACGGCAGCAGTGTCCACAAACGTAGAGTTACTTAATGCTTCAGAGTACAAGGAACTAAGCCTGGTCTGTACCAGTCTTTATTCATGTCTTCAGAACTCTCTTGCTCGTTACAGTGATAAAATCATAGCATACCTTCAAGGAACAAGTTTTATTCTTGTCGGTAAAAGGTTTCTTTCTGTCAATCAGGTTGCATTTACATTGCCTGTTCATTGCTCCCCGTATCTGTTCCAAATTACGCATGAATTGGCTTTGTCTTTTACCCCATTACTGAAGGCGGCTGGTGTTATGACCAAATTTGATGAACAGGATTACATTTCAAGCCTACAGAAAATGAAGGAACAAGTCGGACAACAGCCCTTAGATAAGCAAAACCTTCAAGCTGCAATACATATCGCAACGCAACTCGGTGAAACTCTCGATCTCACCAAAACTAATAGGCAGCTGTGGAAAAAGGTATACCTGCCCAACTCTAAAGGAATAATGCACCCGGTATCTGAACTTTGTATTAGAGACTGTTCTTGGCTGCCAGACGAAGACGGAGTGAACTTTATTCATGACAACATTCCTTTACTGACTAGTAGGAATGTCGGAGTTAAATCACGAAAACAAGAAGCCCTGAGACCCCGTGCATATGGGATTCCCTTTGGGCAACGAGAGAAACTCGCAAACCGTTTAAAACGCATTCTAACAGGTTATCCTTGTGAAAAAGAAATTTTGAAAGAGCTCCTCAAAAATGCGGATGATGCACAAGCAACTGAGGTTTGGTTCATTAAAGACCCTCGACACCACCCAGACGAAGAGTTTTTGAAGACATTTGGAAGCCTTTGCAAGGTCCTGCATTGTGTGTGTATAACAACAAACCTTTCAGAAATGAAGACATTGAGGGAATACGAAACCTTGGAGAAGGAAGTAAAGGAGATGATCCCAACAAGACTGGCCAGTATGGAGTTGGATTTAATGCTGTTTACCACTTGACTGATGTACCCTCTTTTATGACAAAAGGTGAGGATATTGGAGAGGTTTTGTGCGCATTTGACCCAAACGGCAGGTATGTTCCTAACGCTACACCTCAAGAACCCGGAATGCTTTTCAAGGACGTCACGCACCTAAGAAAGCGATTCCCTGACGTGTTTCCTTGCTACCTGGAGAACCATTTTCAAATTGAAAATGGCACAATGTTCAGATTTCCTCTGAGGACAAAAAAGATGTCCGTGGTTTCTCAGGTATCAAAAAGGGTTGTCACACTCGAGATGTTAGACACAATGCTGGAGGACCTAAAAAAGGAACTGTTTGAAGTCCTCTTATTAATCAACAATGTAAAAAAGATCATCATCTGTGAGGTTCACAAACCTACCGGGGAACTTTATAATTTTTACTCTGTTGAGACTACAATGACAAAGGAGGATGAGGTCAAAAAGCAGGCGTTTAGGGAAAGGATCAAACAGGTTGGAACGTATTCCCTTCCAATTAATATTCCAGCAGCGAAAGTGTCTTATGTGCTGAATATCTCAGACAGTTTTCACAACCAAGAGAAATGGCTCATTGTGCAACAGGTGGGATTTCAGAAGGCGTTGAAAAAGAGTATAGTTAATGCCTTCAAGAGAAACGAGCTGGGAATGCTTCCACGTGGTGGCGTTGCCTGTATTTTAGAAAAGAATTCAAAAGACCATGAAGAGCGAGGAAAGAAAGCCTACTGTTTTCTTCCACTTCCATTTGAAACAGATCTACCAGTGCACATCAACGCGCATTTTGCACTGGACCACAAAGCAAGGCGAAATTTGTGGAAAGACGAAGGGGGTGGATATCGCAGTGACTGGAACAATGCCTTACTAGGAGATGTGGTGGCCTCATGCTATCTCACGCTATTAACTGAAGTGCGAGCTTTCCTTAAACTGCCCGTCTCTAAAGCCGGAAAACCTTGCACCTTAACGTGTTCCGAAGGTGAGGTTTTGCAAAGCATCAAAGCCTACGAAAGCATCTTTCCCCTCAAGCCACTTTCGGATCCCTACTGGGAGACACTGGTAGATTCTCTTTACGCAGAAATGGCAAGCAACGAGGTCAGACTTTTACCAGTAGTAAGAAACAAACATTCGGATGCAGTGTTTCCAGGATGCGAAGGCACAAACATTGTTGAGCTTAGTTGGTTTCCACTTGTTGGGAAGGGGAAAAAACAAGCGGCATTCTTTAATGACCTAACTGAAACAGGTCCTTTTGCCAGGCTGCCACAGAGGGAAGGAAATGAACTCCAGACAAAGGCAAGAAGAAGGTTTGAAGAAGTGTTACTTGAAAGTGGCTTCAACCTGGTAGCCTTCTCCTTGAAATTGCAGAAATCACTTACACGATCTGGAATTCGCACGTGTACTGTTACCCCGAGTTCAGTGGTAAATTTCTATAAATCTCTCACTTCTCGAGATCCATTGTGTAAGATTGGAACTATCCCGTGCAATGTAAGCGAAACACCCTTTGGAGATGCCCTTGGGGTCATTCTTGTACTGTTGTACTGTAAAGGAATGAGGAGTTTTGCTAGTCAATTGCCAGATCTTCCACTGCTTTTGACACAAGACGACCGTCTTAGACTCTTCTCAAGCGAGGACCCCAAGTTTCTTTCGAGATTTCAGGATATCTTGCCTGGTTCGCCGCAGGTATTTGTGCATGTGCACCTTGATCAGAAGGTATTCAACGATACTGAAATCTTAAAATCAACGGTAGTGAGGTCTTTAGATGTAGATGGATTCTCAGCTAACCTGATCCAAACACTGGAGGTTGAGCGGTACGGAAAAGGTCGTTTTGTAGAGTGGTCTTGGGATCAAAAAAGTCTTCCCAACCCACGATGGATATCTAGAGTGTGGATTTTTCTTAGTGACATTTTCTCCAAAGTTCTTTGTGATGAAAGCCTACCTGAACAAACCAAGTCTTCCCAAATTACATCTGCTCTTGCATCTCTTGCTGACTGGAGTATCCTTCCAGCTACTGAGTCTAAAATCGAAGCAAGAACAAACCCTTTTCTTCCATTAAGTATAAGCACACCTCAAACTTATACCCAGTTACTCGTTCCGTTGTGTCAGACAACGGCTGTTCTTGATTACAGAAGTTCAGATGCTGCCAATAATAGTCTCTTGGAAGTGTTAAAGAAACTCGGTGTACCCGAACTAAACTATACTGTGCTGACAAACTTGGGCTCAGCAGTTCGGCTTGCACCTTTTTTGGTTTCTGCCCTGAAGGTTCCTTCCTCTCTGCTTACTGCCCTCCACCATAAGATTGAGAGAGACCCTCAGTCACCTAAAAGACTGGACGCCAAGGACTGTAAAGCAATTTTGGAGTACTTCAGTAGGAGTGTGGCCCGCCTTCATGAGGCAGACAAAAGCAAACTGAAAAGGCTTCCTTTCTTCCTAGCGACGCATGGTGGCTTTGTACCACTTGATAGTGATCACCGTGTTTGTGTCCTTCCAGTTGGGATACCGAGAAAGGAAATTGAAAACTTAGAGCGTCACCTAAAGTTAGTCTTCACTGAGTCCTGGCCAGTTCTCTCAAATTTGTTCAAATTCCTGGATCTCGAGTACGTCTCTGCCGTAGACGTGTACTGCGCTTACATTCTGCCAGCGTTTGAGATCTTCAGCCAAGAAGGGAGGCTAGTACACTTGGAGTACATTCGTAAATACCTTCTTTCAGAATTTTTAGCGGAGGATGACATGGAAAAACAAAGGCTTAGGAGCTGTTTGAAAGCAACGCCATTTATCCCCTCCATAAATGGAACGCTTCAAACTGCATCCTCATTCTACGACCCTGGCGTTAACGTTTTCCGCATAATACTCCCTCCAACCAATTTCCCTTTGAAACCACTTAATTCGCCAGAATGGGTAACGGTTTTAAGGACAATAGGTTTAATTCATCAGGTCTCCCATGATCACTTCAAGAAATTTGCAAGAGAGGTTGCACACGAAGCCACTACAGCGCAAACAAAGAGGACATTTGAGAAGTCACTAGTTCTAGTAAAACATCTTCTCCACCGACACAATGTAGTGGCTGAAGGTCTGTTACCTGCCATATCCGACATAACTTTTGTAACCAGCGAGCCGGCAAGAATGGTCTCCGAGAACTTTGCCCGCCATATCAGGGAATGAGGGATGACCAGATTCCATTCTGTGCATTCAAAGGGGCAGTTCCATCGGAATATGCTGAAATTGTTTGGACACAGGCCCATTTACTTCCACGTTGGGCAGATCCAGTGACCTGTCGCCGTGAACTTAGCTGTCCCCCCAAAATGAGCACTGATAAATACTGCAAGACTTTTATTACTCAACTTCAAATTGTTGCAGAGCCATCTCTCAAACTTGTTGTTCGTCATTGTCAAGCCGTTTGTCACTCTCAAGAAAACAAGGATGACGCTAATATTTCCTCACTTGAGCAACGAACGACTTTAAAGGCAGTAATGGAACGCATTTACGAGTTCTTGCAGACAAAGCTGAACACAGGGAACGACGTGAGAAGCCTTCTGGTGAAAACCCCATGCGTTTTGGTCGAGCAAGGGAAGAGATTTATTCTTCCACAGCAGGTAGTGCTCGAGTTGTATGAACATCTCGAAATCAAGCCCTTTCTATACAGTCTACCTCGAGAGTTTGGCAAGTTTCACGCTTTATTTCATGCTCTTGGCTGTTCCAAGTATGTCTCGATTGCCCACTACGCTATGGTGTTACAAATGCTGTACCTGAAATCAAACACCGACAAACTACATCCGAATGAGATGAAGGCATGCGTTAAAGCAGTGAAAGGTTTTTTTCAACTGCTTGAGGAAAGCGCAGGAGAGTTGTCGAGCGTTCCACAGCTTTACCTTCCAGGAATCCCCTTAAGGGGAACGTCCTTAGTTCAGGCGGAGGGAGTTATACCAGTGACATTACGACAGTCTTCGTCCTTGGTGTTCTTTGATGCCTCCCCATCCTTCCACGATCGTCTGCAGAATTTGGACCATCTTGTGCTTGACCTGAAGTCCATGAAAGTGACTTGTAGCTCTGCCATGACGAACCACAAAGAGCTAGTGATGAAATTGCAAACTGCATTACGACCCAAAATGCTATCCAGTTTGAGTAAAGAAACACTCTCCTCGAGGAATGAGGTGTCAACTTTGTCAGTTGAAGCTGTGAATTCTCTCATACACAAGCTGACCTGCCCACAGTTCATTGCTGCGATTGTGAGACTAATACGGGACGAGAACCAGAGTAGGAAGGATATAAACGACGCTGTTATTGCAATGGTCGAGAGACGCCCTCGAAGAAGTGATATCTGCATTGTAGAGAACCTCCAAAGTGTCTTACTTTGTGACGACAGTCCTATTCAGGGCAGCCAAAAGAGAGTATCTTCCTTCCTAGAAAGTAGTATTGTCTCAGATGAAGAGAAGTGGACGGTCTATCTCGATCTGCTATCGGTGATGAACGAAAACTTTGCACATATTTCCATACTTTCCGACGTAATTGTAAACGTTTTGGAGGGTCTTCTTGTAAAGAGAGCACTGATGGTCCCTCGTTTGTTGGATTGTGACCCCCGTGACATGTCTCGGTTACTAGATGCTTTTCATGTACCTTCGGATGACTCTTACGTTCTTCGGGAAGAAGTTGATATCTTTCCAAAAATTGGCACTTTTATTCCACTTGTAGACCATCACTTGTTAAACGACACCTTTGAAGAATTTGAGCCTGGTGAATACGTTGGTTTTGAGCTCGAAGATCCAACTCTAAACCACGAGAGGGGTGTTCCAACTTACATCTATGCAAGAGTTGTCAGGGAAGTGACAGAGAAAAGCTTTTCTCTCTTGACGAAGAGATATAAAATCGACATTGGCGGTGGCCAAGAGTTAGAAGTTGATGTGGCTGACCTTTATAAGTTCCATCGTTGGTCAACTATATCATCAACGATAGTAGTGTTTCAACCTCAAGAACGAAGCCCTCCTGAACGACGTATAAGCAGAAACCAACAAGACGTATTTGATGAGATCTCGAAACTTCTAGAAGATGCGTGGAAGTTGTCAGAGGAGAAACGTCGAAAAATTATCAAGCGGCTCTATCTGCAATGGCATCCTGACAAAAACGTGGATGATGAGGAATTCTGCACAGACGTTTGCAAGCATATCCAGAGTGAAACTTCGCGGATGGAAAGATGGGAGCCTCGAGGAAGTCAGCAAAGCTCAGACGTTGGCCCCAGCCGAGGTCAGCATGGCTCTTACGACCAGTTTTTTAATCGCTGGGGAGAACGCGCCAGGGAACATCACACACAGCGCGAAGGATACAGATCCAGACAGCAATCCTCTCGAAACTCTACCAGAGCGAGGAATCCTCAACCTGGAGAAGCCAGGCGATGGCTCAGCCAGGCTGAGGCTGATATAGCTGCAACGGAGAATGACATTTTCTACCAAAGACCCTCCTATGAATGGGCGTGTTTCAAATGCCACCAGGTAAGCTGAGAACTGTACGTGTTCCCTTGCTCCCTTTGCTCGCTTTGGTCCTTTTTGCCCCCCTTTTGGCAAAGTATTTTCTTGAGTCGGCAACAAGTTTGCCTAGTGTCTCTTTCAACTTGAATGACTCGACAAGGTTTGGAAGCGGACCCCTAAGAGTACTAATGGAGTGATGCATTGTCTGGGGTATGAGCTGTAAAACGTATTTTCCACTCCCATCATGTAGACAGTATTTGACACGAATGACCAAAAACATCGAGAAGCTTAGTATCGTCGTCTCTCTAAAGACTTCAGCAACTGACGAGGACTTAGAAGAAGATACTTATTTTGTAAATCGCAGAAGAAAACCAGTGTTTTAAAATTAAATGGAAAATATACAATACAATACATCTTTCTTAATTAGGAGAAGACAAAACATTTGTTCTGCTAAAGTGAAATAATTTTCGTCATAGGCGGCAGAGAAGGCTCTCAAAGCTGCACAATACGCCATAGATGTGGAGAGGACAAACGTACACAACTTGCTGCTTATTTGCCAAGAGTTAGATGACTCTGAATTGACCCAACTAGCGCGTCAGTNCCTCTCTACCACGCAACAGAAAGAGAATGGCCAGAAGTGAAATACGTTAAGGTCACGAAGTTGTTTAAGAAATCATCTTTATTTACTAGGGTACGAGATATTCCGTTTTGATCTTCTTGTTTTGTATAAGGTATTACATATGCCTGACAAAACATCGTAATTCGATGAAATCAGTTTCCGACCGTCATCTTTTGGAAAAAAAAATCAATCGACAGGGTCCGAACGTTTTGCCCTTGTTACTTATAGCTTAGTGTAGTTGACTTCATGAGATTATTAGAGTTAACTAATAGCCACATACTAAATAGAAACTGTTAGAAATTTGTAAAAGGTCAGATAATCAGTAATGCTGTGATGCCATTCGGAACAACAAGAAATCTAACATCAGAAAGCTGAGAATAAATTCCGAGCTTCATGTGAGAATCAAACTCCCGACCCTCCGAGTTGTAGTTGGAGTGCTCTTTTCCGTTGTATTTTCGCCATTAGACATTTGAATATTGAACGCTCCGCAGATTATATGCACATCAGTAACTTAGCGTTAGCCAATTCAGTACAGATAATTTCAGATTGTAGTCTATGACGCAAAAATTGCATAGTCCGGCATGAAGGAAGAATAAAACAGAGGCAAAACAAACTTTGTATTATTTTGGGTAGCTTCATTAATGCTTTTTTTTTTTTTTCATGTATCTGGAGACCACTTTTTTGGATTTTATAGGCGTTTTCTTTAGGTTCGTGATTTCTTGATTGCTAATTTTTTTATTCCTGAATAAAAGTAAAAAATAATAATGATACTGAGGACTCAAGGATACGGTGTCTAAAAGGGGAGAGAGTGGACCACGAAAGCAACATAACCTGCAATTGAGTTGTATTTTTCAGAGAAAACTTGTTATTTCTTTCACTCAGGTTTTGATCAGTACGCTAGAGAAGAAAGTACATAGCAGTTGCTCGTCCTAACGTCCAACCATTTCCTTCCTATAGCATTATAGCATTAAACACACCATTTTTGTTAACTGTTAAGGAGAAAGTTAGATTTCTCAAATATACATTTAAATATAATTACACTCCTAGCTTTTTACAAATAAATCGTTGCTTTCTTTCCTCCATTTTCTTGTCCTTTTATTTGTTTTATTTTAAAGTTACCATTTCGTTATTTCTAAATTTCCTCGCAAATAATTTGTTGCAAAAGTTGATTTTAAGGTGAGGGAATCCAAATATAACTTATACTGAAATGTGCAGCCATTAAGTAATGATGAGTTTTTTTTGCCTTTTTAAATCCAAAAATAACGTGAATTGGTTTAAAGCTTAGGCCCAAAATGAGAAGTGTGAGGTGTCCATGTGTTGGTGCAAGAGTCAAGTTCTCCTGAGACCATACATCAAGCATTGAGCAATCTCATTTGTGGCTAAAACGGGTAAAGATGCATCTTTTTTAGCAACGGAAAAGCAAGTTTTAAAGCAACTTGTTTAAGGCAAGTTTTTTTTAAAATGTCTGCTGTATATACATGGGTTATTGAGCGAACATGAGGTCAAGATAAGTAAACATTGGGAGATTGTTTTGAAGTCATAAGGTCTTCAAAAACGTAAAACAAAAATGAACGAGGGCAATAGCCAGCAACCTTTAAGGGACAAGCTTTCCCGTGCATTATTTGTTATATGGTCAAAGGAAAACGTTTCCTCGCAGAGACAACACTACCGTGTCTGTAAGATTTTAGAAAAGTGACTCTTGTAATGTGATATTTGAAACAATTCGTGCAAAGAGTATAACGAACTGGATTCTGTTTGCTTAAGACCAGGAATCCGGACGAGCGGAGATGAACTGCTATTAACTCTAATGTTCCAAGGAACTCTTTCGGGGCAAATTCTTAGAGATGGCAATGGGAAACTAAGATCTAAGATCGCATTAAAAGGGATTAAAATTTTGAAAATTTGCTATTTAAATAAACCATTAATTTATAGCTGATTTTCTTGAACCTTATCGAGCCTGGGAAGTATGTCGAAAAATTTCTGAAAATTCATTGTTTGTCTTGAATATCAGTTGTAGGCAAGTCAACTTCTCTATATGCTGAAAATAGCGGTTTTAAAGTAGTTAAGGAGGAAATAAAACATTTAACTACGTAACACATGACTGAAAATCAGCTATATCAAAATATCTAAATCAATATATCTTTGATGAGAGAAAATGGCCCCTTTCTCACATAATTCAGTATTACTGCATGACCAGGGCCCAGTTGTTCGAAGGCCGATTAGTGCTTAACTCGGGTTTCTTTTTCTAGTGTTCAACAGCATTATCTCGGATAATTTTCTCTGTTATTTTTAGAGCTTCCAATCATCAACTTGAAGACAAAAAGAATTAAAACTGAAATGCTTTCTAAGCTTTCAAATCTGAATTCAAATTTCGCACTAACCCTGGGTTATCTTAACCCAGCTTAGAACAACTAGGCCCTGAGGTAAATCTCGCCCATTTCGTGAGGAAATGGAACTGGCTTAACATTGAAATACACTAAAGTAGAACGGACAACGTTTTTAACCGATGTTTCGATTGCCTCCATCCTCCCCTCATCGCAAATTTTCTTGGTGCTCCCGGGTGAATTAACAGCATACAAGCACGACGGAACGCTTTTTTCTAAGTTATGGCGTCGATATCTGTGGTGGAGTTTCACGACTTCACGAAAAGTCTCTCTCCACGCCACGCCCGCGGGGATATCTGGGAAGGATATAGAGCTGCCCAAATCCTCGAGCGCGGCGCGCATGTGTAACTGCGAAAAAGATGCTTTCTTGGAAAACGGATCTCCATTATATCATAAAGCGATGCGGTGAATGAGAAGAAAGCCATACATTACGTTTCATGCAGTAATGATTCAAAGGCAGGAACGCCATGACCACCAACAAGGCATAAGCTTGACTGTGCGAGCACCAATCATATTTCACTTAAGCTCTGACAAAGATAGACAAAAGGTGGAAAGAAAAGACATATTTTTTCCATAATTTGTTAAACAACTTTCGCTGAAAAACTATGAACAGGGCATACAGCTATTTTAATAAACGATGCCTGATTTGAACGTGTCTGGCTAGCTGTAAATCCTTTAACATTTGGTCTCAATTTAGCGGTTGTTAGTGCCAAAGAATAGAATACTGGTAACAAACGTTTACGTTAGTGATTTATGACAGGGAAAATTTGTTTCATGGCTCCAAGTTGATAATAAGTAGCCGTATACAGAAGCCCATAGCTGTATGTCTCTCATAGCAGCCAAGTCTTGGTTACACGCCAGCAGGTGCAAACAACCGGATCGGCTTCCGTGAAATCTGCCCAAACAAGCCATTTCTGCTATTGTTACTTTCCCGGAATTCATCAGATTCAATAACAATGGCTTAACAAAATAGAGTTACATACATGACGGTTGTTCATCATTTACGTTGGGCAAGTTACTTCCCTGTTCATTAGTTGTGTTGGACTTCATACATTAACACATGCATTAACTGAAACTTTGTTTCGTGACATCAGGGTAAAATAGCCGTGGTGAGGACATCCGTAATAAATATGATAGCTCTCAACAAGGCTCGCCCCCAAATCGCCTATTTTTTGAGGACACTCTCGATAAACAAGTAAAAGTCTGAGATGGAAAGAGTTGATAAGGAAACACTATTTTATCCCTTAAATACAAACACAGAAAAGATTAAAGTTTTGTTCATTCACCTGAAACCACCCTCAAGTAAAGTTCTAATTAAAAGATCTTTGCCAACATATATTCTGGGATACATTTCTGAAATATTGTCTAGTAACAGTAGTGTTTCCGGGAAAGCACCGAAACAATTTCCGAGAAACGTGAAGGGGATCATGGGAGATTAACGTTGAAAGGGATTCCTCCTTCAGATTTAAACACGTATCATTCAACTGAAAATGCAGCCAAGTCTTGGTTACACGCCAGCAGGTGCAAACAACCGGATCGATTTCCGTGAAATCTGCCCAGACAAGCCATTTCTGCTATTGTTACTTTCCCGGAATT